TGCTGCCGCTCGAGGAGGCGGTGGAGGGCTTCAAGGTGAGGGCGCGGAGCCGGGCGGGCGGGAGCGCGAGTCGCACAAAGGGAGGGGAGAGCCGAAGGGGCTTCCTTTTTTTCCGCCGAGAAAATGGCTGAGCCGGACGTGTGGTTCACAGCCGTCATTTCCTCTCTGTCCGCTCCAGAGCCTCCGCACTCAGATTTGGGAGGAAAACCTGTAGCTGGTGAGGAAGCCAGAAGTCTCTCCACCCTCACTCTTTCTCTATATGTCCCCGTGTTTCCCGGCTCACGAGCACATCGTATATAAAGACGGCCCATGGAGATCTCCTTTTGACAGTGTACAAGAAGTGCGTAAAACCGCGTACACTCGGCGAGCTTCAGAGACACTCCCACCAGCTCTCAGACAAAACACATTCGGACGTTAACTGTATACACATCAAGCAGATGCCCATCACTTAGTCTCTAAGCATTTCCCCAGCACTCTCCTGTAATCCGTCCTGTTGTAGAAGCTCACAGAAAAGAACACAGCTCTTCACTGCTTGAGTAAGTCCTATAACCACTCTGAGACTCGAGAGATAACACAGTTTTTATGAAGATTGAGTGAAGTCACATGATGCACGGAACCCTTTGTGAACTGCTCAACAGACCAGCACTGCTAAACAGTAACAGGGGAACAAAGTATTACATATAAAACAGTTGTATGGCAGCAATCAGGGAGTCCTTGATACTTTTTATTTTCTGTCTATTCCAGGGCTGCAGGAATACGTACACAGATATGTGCATGTTCAAATATGAGTACTTAATATTTATGGAGCTTTCGACTCTGTCATTTCACTCACTCTTGAGTAGGTCGGGGAAGGTGGCGTTTATACTTGTTACACGTAGGGAAAATGAGAAGTTAGTTCATTTTCTCAGTATACCTCTGCAGAAGACCTACACTGTAACTTTATGTCTTCTAGTCCAGTCACCTTTCCGCTGAACCATGCAATATCCTTCCAGGGACAGGTAGATGACTCACTGTTTAAGATATATACACACAAATTGCTAAAGGAGAGGTGTGGTGACCCCTGTGCTCTGGGCCTTCCTCCTGTGGGTGGCAGCGTGGCCCGAGGACAAGTTCTAACCAGGGGCTTGGCGTCAGGAGTATGGGTTCCATGTGTGATAAGCAGAATAGTCATGCTGATGCTAAGGTTTGCCTAATTTTGAACTCCCCATCTGTTTTGCTTTTTTCAGGAGCAAATCCAGAACCAGCTAGACCATCTAAAAAGAGTGAAAGACCTAAAGAAGAGACGTCGGGCACAGGGGGAGCAGGCACGAGCTGAGCTCTTGGTAAGGGCTGATGGAATTCACAGTTGCCCCTTCTGTGGGGCTGATGATACTTCCCTTAACCTTGTCCAGCCAGATCACTCAGAACTTGTAGTTACAGGTGGAACAACCCCATACAGCAGTGGGAACTCACTTGGAAAACCAGCAGATTCCCTGACTTTTTGGGAAAGGATGGAGGAGCTGTTTGGAACCCCTGGAAATCTGACCTATCAATAAAGTTTAGCCTACTAGCTCTGTGTAGACCCACACTGATCCTTGGCAAAGCTGAGATAGGTAAAATTCTTGGGTACAGGTAGCCTCCTTTGATACCATCCTACAGACAGGGGCTGATAGTGGATGCATGTAAGTCCTACTGTTGATTCTGGGATGTCCTTTCTTACAGCGCCTCACTTCTAAATTTTTCACTCTGCTTTCTTCCTCCACTCCCCGCAAGGTCTTGGGACATGGGCATGTACTAGGGGTATTTGATGTACTAGGGGTATTTGGGAATTTTGTTTTGAAAAACAAAGCAAGCCGGGTTCGGTGGCTCAGCCTGTAATCCTGCGCCTTGGGAGGCTGAGGTGAGTGGATTGCCTGAGCCTGCGGGTTTGAGACCCGCCTGGGCAACTTGGCGAGACCTCATCTTTACAATAAATCAAAAAATTAGCCGGGCGTGGTAACGCGCACCTGTGGTTCTCGCTACTTGAAAGGCTGAGGTGGAAGGATTGCTGGAGTCCAGCAGGTTGAGGCTGCGGTGGCCGGGAGTGGCCACTGCACTCCAGTCTGGGCAACAGAGTGAGACTCCAACTCAAAAAAAAAAAAAAAAAGAAAAGCAAAACAAAATATTGAAGTCCCAAAAACAAAAAATTCAGAGACTTTTATATTATACACATGTATACCTGCCACCTAGGTGTTAAAGAAATTTTTCTTGAACAATAAGCAAAATACTACAAATACTACAAAATACTACTAAAATACTACAAAATACTCGTCCATTAGAGGTAATTCCATGTGAAAAACAAACTCCCAGACTAGTAGTGTCTAGCATCGTCTTGTGAGAATTTGTCAGTCCTGGCATGGTGTAGTAAAGAACTTCAGAACAGGGAACTCATTTCTGTGGTGTCCTCAGATCCCACCTCTTGCTCTGTCCCTACAGAAGAGACCTCATCTCCTTGCTTGGAAATGTTCTAATGGATAGAGATTCTTCTCAGTGAGCCTGAGTGAACTCAAATCATTGTGCACACAGCGGTTTCCTTGTGGGAGGATTATCAAAGGAGAGAGACTGCCCTTCTCTGAGAAGCAGGGTGCCTGGACATGTTATGCTTGTAGGCTCTGACACTGCCCCGTCGTATAGACAACCTCTCTGGTCCTCAGTTTTCTAATCTGTTAAATGGGTAGGTTGGATTAGACTTGTAGTTCTCCAGCCAAGTCTACCACTGCCCTCTCCTCCTCTATAGAGATGGGTGGGTGTTGCTTTGACTGTCACTCAAAGAGTGGAGTAACTGGGGAGCATGGGGCAGGGATGCTAAATATCTTACACTGTAAGAAACAGTCTCATGATGGGCAGAATTGTATCTGCTAGGGTGCCGATAGCACCCCTTTTGAGAGACACTGAATTAATTGATTTTTATGGTTCTTTCAACTTTACTGTTTTGATTCTAAGATTATATTGTATGGTTTACATTTTTAAAATAATTACCCATAAGTATGAAAAGGATCTGTAAACAAAGGTGTTTACACATTGCTAAGTCGTGTAGTGAGTGTCTAAGAAGGGTGGTTATAATCAGTGAGGGAAGGTTCTCAGAAGAAGTCGAGTTTAGAACAGGTGTTGGCAAACTTTCTGTAAAGGGTTGGATAGTAAATATCGTTGGCTTTGTGGGCTGTACAGGCTGTGTGGCAATTAATCTACTCTGTTGTAGCTCAAAAGCAGCCACAGCCAGTATGGAAAGGAACGGGCATGACTGTGTCCCAACAAACATTTACTTGACTCCTTTGGCGTCATAGCTGATTCCTTATTTAGAGCAAAACTTTATGAGTCCTGATGGTGAGGGGTTAGGGGTGGGAGAAGGAAGGAAAGGCTTGCTGTGGCAAATAAGTCAACACCAAGAGGGAACCCTGGGAAACACTCATCCCAAGCCAGTGAGATAGGGCAGTTGGTGTGTGCCCACAAAGTCCAGATAGAGGATATGGAGGGTCCAAGGAAGCTGGTTGAGGAAATTGTGCCTGATTGTCCCAAATCATTCTTTGTAGGGTACATATCTGACCATGTCACTTGCCTGTGTGACAGTCTTTCATGGCTCCCAGGTGCAATAGAGTCCTTATTTCTTAGCCTGCCAGGTGAGGTATGATTTCACCTTACCTTTTCTAGTCTCTGCCCTCAGCTCTCATGTGCACCAGCCAGGCCTCAAGCACCATTTGCTTTCTCCCCTACTCTTGCCTGTGCCATTTCTTTCTTTCTTTTTTCTTTTTTTTTGAGTTGGAGTCTCACTCTGTTGCCCAGGCTAGAGTGCAGTGGCATGCTCCTGGCCACTGCAGCCTCAACCTGCTGGGCTCAGGCTAGGGTGCAGTGGCATGCTCCCGGCCACCGCAGTCTCAACCTGCTGGGCTCAGGCTATCCTTCCACCTCAGCCTTCCAAGTAGCTGGAACTACAGGTATGCACCACCATGCCTGGCTAAATTTTTGATTTATTGTAGAAATGAGATCTCACCAAGTTGCCCAGGCTGGTCTTGAACCCATGGACTCAAGCAATTCTCTCACCTCAGCCGCCTGTGTCATTACTTATGCCAGGAAAGCCCTCCATCATCCCCTCCATAGTGAATTCCTGTTCATCCTACATTCATTCACACAGACCCTATGTGAACGTTGCTTCTGTGAAGACTGTAACAACTTCTTTCACTTCAGGCTGTCACCCTTTCTTTAATTACCCATCCATGACTATGCAAATCATATGAACTTGACTGACTTGTTAACCTGAGTTACTCGAGGGCAGGGCCTTTTTCTTCATTATCATGAGTAACTCAGTTCCTGGCCATTATGTGTCCACTCAGTAAAGACTGGAAATAATGAGTGAGTGAGTGAGCACGGTGGTGGTTTTAGTATGCTAGGATGAAATGGTGATGTCCTTGGGTGGGTACTCACATCAGGAGAGAGATATGAAGGGCTCTAGAATTGAGTGTATCCTCTCTTCACTGCCCTTCCCTGTCATCTGCACAGAGCCTGACCCAGATGGAGCGGGAGAAGATCGTTTGGGAGTTTGAGCAGCTGTATCACTCCTTGAAGGAGCATGAATATCGCCTCCTGGCCCGCCTTGAGGAGCTAGACTTGGCCATCTACAACAGCATCAACGGTGCCATCACCCAGTTTTCCTGCAACATCTCGCACCTCAGCAGCCTGATCACCCAGCTGGAAGAGAAGCAGCAACAGCCTACCAGGGAGCTCCTGCAGGTGAGGCTTGGAGAGCCCTGCCATGACAGCCCCCACTAAAAATTATCTCCCTTCACCAAGTAGTATTGAGGACCCCCTGTGTTCTTGTTAACTCTGTGGGAGTATCAAGGGCTTGCCAAACTCTATATTGGGCTTGTTAAGAGGAAAATATGTTCACTAGCAGTTCTGGTTGACACAGCTTGGATCAGTCAGTTGCATCGTCTCACGAAAAGGGCAAAAAGATGCATAAACCTGCCCTGCACTGACAAGCGGTCTGATCACAGGCAAGATTCTTGAACTTTCTAGGCCTCAGTGACCTTATTCGCTCATTGTGTAATGAGGGGTTTGGACCACACTACACATTTGGACCATTCAGAGACCCTGCTCATTCAGGTATCCTGTAATTTTGACATAACACATGCACATCACAACCATAAAACAACATGCACTTGAGCAAGACTGGTTAGCCTGAGTAATCTGTGATTTAACCTTGGTCATGCAGGTGTTAGAGCTGTAGCAGACCTAACCCACTAAGACCACAGGAAATGGTCTGGCCATCATTTGCTCATTCAGCACACATTAATTTTCTGTTCTGGGTCGGGGCCATTCTAGGCACTGGAATTAAATGTTGAATAAGCTTTCCTGAATTATGTTTTAGTGTGGGGACCAGACAATAAATGAACAGTTATCACAAGTGTTAATAAATGCTATTAAAAAGGGATGATGGGGTGGAACAAGGGTCAGCTAATTATGGCCAATCACTTGTTTTTTTGTTTGTTTTGTTTTTTGTTTTTTTTGAGTTGGAGTCTCACTCTGTCACTCAGACTGGAGTGCAGTGGCCGCTCCCGGCCACCGCAGCCTGGACCTGCTGGGCTCCGGCGATCCTTCCTCCTCAGCTTTCCGAGTAGCCGGAATTACAGGCATGCGCTACCACGCCCGGCTAATTTTTTGATTTATTGTAGAGATGAGGTCTCGCCTGCCCAGGCGGGTCTCGAACCCACGAGCTCAGGCAATCCATTCACCTCAGCCTCCCAAAGCCGCGGGATTACAGGCTGAGCCACCGAGCCCGGCTCAATCACTTGTTTTTAAATGTCTTGGGTGCTAAATACGGTTTTTATATTTTTAAATGGTTGGGAAAAAATCAGAAGCATGTGTTTCATGATATGTGAAATTGTATGAAATTCAAATTTAGTGTCCACACATTTTTATTGGAACAAAGCCATGCTTGTTCATTTATGTATTACCTGTCATTGCTTTAGCAGAAGTAGCAAAAAAAGAGACTGTATGCCTCACAAACCCTAGAATATTTGCTGCCTAGCCTTTTAAGAAAAAGTTTTCTAATCCCTGCTGTAGAATAATAAGAGAAGACAGCTTGAGCCTCAGTGTACATCAGTATTTAATTGCCAGGGACAAAAGGCAGTGCTTGCTAGGAGTACAATTGACCAGGGAGGTAGAACGTGACCTGGAAGGAGGAATGTTTTAGGAACGAGGGAGTGGACAATACAATAATGCAGGTGAGGTCAAATAGTATCAGAGTTGATTTCTGTTTGGTTTAAAAACATGGCCAAGATTGGTGACCTTATATGGAACTGCCATGTGGAATAAATTGGGCAGGAGCCATGTTAGGGGGAGTTGAGTGGTGACTGGGTGGGGTGAATGGAGACTACAAGAGTAGATGACTGTGTCAAGAAGTAGACTATGAAGGACATGCAAGAAAATACTTAGAGATGAGGTAGGATTGTGGTGCTTTATCTGGAGGGAATGCTTAAAGAAACTAGTTAAACATATTTTCAAAGTGTATATGGGAGAGTCTTATTTTGTAAAGTTTCCAGGCTAGGAAAGACGTTGAAGCTGTAAGAAATGATGTGCTGATCAGTAGTGTTTTGATCCTGAGAAGGCAGGTGAGAATGAGAACTAAAGCACATGTATAGGAGTGAGCTTCCAGGGTTTTCTGTTGTATGGGAAGAAAGTGACTGTTTCAGAGTATGGAAAAGCATGTTGATCTGCAAAAAATAGTAGGAGTATTTGGTCAGTGAACATCCATTTATCATAGGACCTTTATGCTCCATTTGCGACTCTCTTGTCTGCTTTGCTTTCTCAGATCTTGACTACTCTGGGGCAGATGTGACAAAGCAGATCGTCGGGCTTGTCCAGGGTTGGGATTTTGAAAGATAGACTTGAGGGTGATTCATTTTTATTGTAAAATATACAGAACATAAATTTCATCATTTCAAAGTGTAACTCTGTGGCACAAAAGTAGCATTTTGTAAATTTACAATATTGGGCAATTATCAACCAGTCTAGATCCAAAACACTTTCATCATCCCAAAGAGAAACCCCATACCATTAAGCAATCACTTCTCATTCCCTTCTCCTAACCTCTGGCTACATGGATTAGTCTGTTGTAGATGTTTGGTAGAAGTGAAATCGTACAATATGTGGCCTTTCTCCCACCCCCCAGCATAATCTGTTCAAGGCTCATCCATGTTTCAGTACTTCATTCCTTTTTATGGCTGAATAATCTTCCATTTTATGGATATATACTGCCTTTTGTATATTCATCAGTTGATGGACATCTGAGTTGCTGTTCTCTTGGCTACTGTGAATAGTGCTGCCGTGAACATTAAAAATGTAAAACTTTGTCCACGCGCGGTGGCTCAAGCCTGTAATCCCAGCACTCTAGGAGGCCAAGGCAAGAGAATTGCCTGAGCTCAGGGGTTCAAGACCAGCCTGGACAATATGGTGAGACCTTGTCTCTACAATAAATCAAAAAATTAGCTAGGCATGGTGGCACGCACCTATAGTTCCAGCTACTTGGAAGGCTGAGGCGGAACGAATGCCTGGGCCCAGCAGGTTGAGGCTGCAGTGGCTGTGAGCGTACCACTGCACTCCAGCTTGGGCAAGAGAGTGAGAGCCCAACTCAAAAAAAAAAAAAGTAAAACTTCACAAATTTATGTGCCATCCTTCTGCAGGGGCCATGCTAATTTTCTCTGCATGGTTCCAATTTGAGTATATCTGCTATTAAAACAAGCACATACTTAAGGTTTTAAAACCTTTTTTTTTTAAGGCAGGAGGTATTTGTGAGAATTTTTTTGAACAGATGGATCAAGAAACTGAAACTGGATGATGAGGAAGGTGGAGAAAGAAGGGGTGGGCTCTCAAAGATTTTAAAAGAGTGCTCATGGTGGAAGTCATTGGAAGAGCAAGCTGAATTTTACTTAATGAGGAAATATCAGAGGTGCTCCTATTGAGTCAGAACGAGGCAAGTTGTCTTGTAGACTGTCATCTCTGTTTAACATTAATTGTACTTGTGGTTTTAACCAGTTCAGTTAGATAAAATAATTAGAGGCATAAGAATCGGAAAGTAGCCAGTCACCATGGCTCAAGCCTATAATCCCAGCACTTTGGGAAGCTGAGGCGAGAGGATTGCCTGAGCGTCGGTTCAAGACCAGCCTGGGCAACTTAGCAAGACCTTGTCTCTACCAATAAATCAAAAAATTAGCTGGGCATGGTAGTGCGTGCCTGTAGTTCCATCTACTTGGAAGGCTGGGGCGGAAGGATTGCCTAAGCCCAGCAGGTCAAGACTGCAGTAGCCGTGAGCATGCCACTGCACTCTAGCCTGGGTGATAGAGTGAGACTTCAACTCAAAAAAAAAGGAATTGGAAAGTGAGTTAACATAGAGAAATTAGCAGTCTTCATGTGCCAGATAGCCACTAGGAGACATATTAGAAGTGAATATCCCATTTCCAGTTGCACAAATAATAAAATACCTAGAATTAAACTTGTAAGAAATGTATGAAAACCTTTGTGGAAAAAATTATAAAACACTCCAGAAAGATAAACTTGAGCAAATAAGAAGCTATTCCTTATTCTTTAATAAGACATTTCAGCAGCAAGTTTTTGATCCTTCAAATTCATAAACTTAATTCAGTTTTTGTTTTGGTTGCATGGATATACTGCATAGTGGTAAAATCTTGTTTTTTTGTGTGACTGTCACCTGAATAGTGTACATTGTACCTGTTAAATAATTTCTTATCCCTCTACCCCTCCCACTCTTGCAAATTCAATAAAAATGGCAACAAGCTTTTTTTCTAGATATTTAAACACAACAAAGCCTATTATAATTAAAGCTATTGGTATCAACACAAGGAAAACACACACACATATTGTAACTAGCCAAAAGATGGTATTAAAAGAAAATATTTGCAACAAATACCACAAATAGAAATAACAGGACCAGACTTGGTGGTCCATGCCTGTAATTCCAACATTTTGGGAGGTCGAGTTAGAAGGATCACTTGAGGCTATGAGCTGGGCAACATAATGAGACATTCCCCCGTGACCCACCCAGTCTCTAGTAAAAGCAAAATTAGCCAGGAATCATGATGATGATACATTCTTCTAGGCTTAGTTACTTGAGAGGCTCAGGTGGGAAGAGCACTTGAGCAGACGTTCAAGGTTATGGTGAGCTGTGATCATACCCCTGCACTTCATCCTGGGTCACAGAGCAGGAACCTGCCTCAAAAAAAAAAAAGAAGGAAAAATAAAGAAATAGTTCTAACATATAAAGAACTTCCAAAAATTAAAGGGAAAATAGACAAATTGCAAAGGGCATATAAAATTAGCCAATAAACATATGAAAAAATTTTCAGCTGTACTTACGAGATGAATCAGATTAAAACTACACCAAAGTACCCTTTCTTACTCATTAGAATACAAAAAAAATGTCAGCATAATACATTGTTGGCAAAGAGAAATACACTGTGAGAGATATACATGTATGCTAATGGGAATGCAAAATTGTACAATGCTTTTGGAGGAGAATTTGGCAATATTTAACAACACTATATATGTATGTGTGTATATATATGTGTGTGTGTGTGTGTGTGTGTGTGTGTGTGTATACACACACACTTTTATTTTATTTTATTTTATTTTTTTGAGTTGGAGTCTCACTCTGTCGCCCAGACTGGAGTGCAGTGGCCACTCCCGGCCACCGCAGCCTCGACCTGCTGGGCTCCCACGATCATTCCGCCTCAGCCTTCCAAGTAGCTGGAACTACAGGCACGTGCTACCACGCCCGGCTAACTTTTGATTTATTGTAGAGATGAGGTCTCGCCAAGTTGCCTAGGCGGGTCTCGAACCCGCGGGCTCAGGCAACCCACTCACCTCAGCCTCCCAAGGCACGGGATTACAGGCTGAGCCACCAAGCCCGGCTTACATACTCATTTATATATGCATACACACACACAGTTAGACTTTGACTAAGAATCTTTCTAAAATGGGAGTGGGAATGGAGAGAGGTTAATGAGTACAAATATACAATTTGATAGAAGAAATAAGATCTAGTGTTTGATAGATCAGTTGACTATATAATCTACTGCATATTTCAAAATTGCTAGAGGATAATAATTAATAATTCAAATGTTTCTAGCATAAATAGTTAAGGATGATGGATATCCCAATTACACTGATTTGATATTTCAAATTATGTGACTATTATATTATCACAGATATCCCCAAAATATGTGCATTTATTGTGTATCAATTAAAAACTAAATTTAAAAAAGAATCTTTGCAGGAATTTACCTTGAAGATATACCTAAAACAACAAAAAACCAAGCCAGGCATGGTGGCTCACATCTGTAATCCCAGCTGTTTGGAAGGCTGAGACAGGAGGATTGCTTGAGCCCAGGAGTTCAAGACTAGCATAGACAACATAGGAGACCTTGTCTGTACAAGAACTTAGGCATGGTGGTGGGTACCTGTTGTCCCAACTGCTTGGGAGACTGAGGCAGAAGGACTGCTTGAGCCCAGGAAGTCAAGACTGTGGTGAGCTGTGATCATGGCACTGCACTCCAGTCTGAGTGACAGAGTGAGACTCCGACACACACACACAACACACATACAGAATGAGAGATACTTATGAACTGATATGGAGTTGTTTTCTGTGAATATTGCTGTGTGAAAAAACTCAAAATATAAAATACAGTGTGTTACTTTTTTGTGAGAAATTGGAAAATACATGTGTCTGCTTGTTTTTACAAAGGAAATTGGAAGGATAAACCAAAAAATACTGGGGATGGGGAGAATGATATATCAGGGGATAGAGGAGACAGTGACAAGGACACCCTCGCCAAGTCTCAGACATTTTGAACACCAAAATAAATAAGAATAGTAATGGGTTATGACCATTTAATAAAATAAAAATCTGTGAGCCAGGCACGATGGCTCTTTGGGAGGCTAAGGCAGTAGGATTGCTTGAACCCAGGAGTTCAAGACCAGCCTGGGCAGCACAGAGAGACCTGTTCTACAAAAAATTAAAAAATTAGCTAGGCATGGTGGCACATACCTATAGTCTCAGCTACTCAGGAGATTGAGGCAGAAGGATTGCCTGAGCCTGGGAGATCCAGGCAGTGGTGAGCTGCGATCATGCTACTGAGCTGTGGTCTGGGCAAGAGTGAGACCCTGACTCAAAAAAAGAACCTATAAGTACATGCTAATAATAAATAAGAAGGAGAAATTCTTTTCGGTAGACTGTCAATAAGTAACATAGAAGGAATTTTGGAAGTTAGAAATTTACCATTTGGCAATTATCATAGTAAAAATTAATTCTAACAAAAATAATCAGCAGACGCTACATCTAAGGTGGGAAGTGTGATGAGGACTGGAAATATCACTTATAGATTACTTATTAATTACAAAAGGTAAAACAGTAACTATACACAGATCAAAATTAGTATTGGCAGTAAAGGACAAGTGAATATTATATACCTTTAGAAGGATACAACATACACTAGTTAAAGATGATACAACCTGAATTTTCTCATGAGGAAAATATCTGACAAACCCATTTGGAGGTACATTGTATAAAATAATTGGCTTGTACTAAACGATATAAATGCCAAGAAAGAAACCAGTGCAGAGGAACTGTTCTAGTTAAAGACATATGTCATGCTGGGCATGGTGGCATGCACCTGTAGTCCCAGCTACTCAGCAAAGAGGATCACTTGAGCCTAGGAGTTTGAGACCGGCCTGGGGAACATAGTGAAACCTTATCTCTTAAAAAAGTTTTTTAGAAAAGATTAAAAAAAGAGAGGTGATGATAATTAAATACAACGAATAATCCTAGATTACTGCAGTGGTTCAGGATAGGATAGCTGTAAAGAACATTAATGCAAATGATTACATTAGAACACAGACTATGGGCTAGATAAACATATCAATGTTCAATTTCCTGCATTTGATAACTGTACTGTAGTTGTATAAGAAAATGTATTTGTTCTTAGGAACTCCTCATGGAAGTATAAGGGGATATAATGTAAAGAATGAACTCCCAAATGGTTCTGACCAGAAATACATCATACATATGGGAGAGGGAGACAAAAATGATAAATTTAGTGAAAAAGTTGGTAAATCTGGGACAAAAATATACTGGAGTTCTATGTCATAGCAGTTTTTCTGGGTATTTAAAATTAGTTCACAATAAAAAGAACGCAAGCTGAACAGGTAGGTAGTTGAGGTCCAAGAATAGGTAAGTAAATTTAAACTCATGAGGTCCTTAACCAGTGGATGGTGGTGCTGGAGGGCATAGGAAATGCTGCTGTAGCAAATAGAGTGTATCTCAGTTTCCTCTGCCTGATATTTAGTTTCTTGAGACTGTGAGTTATGTTCCAGTGATCCTTGTCTTCCTGGTTTCTTCCAGGTGGGCCAGCTCATAGTTCGGTTCTCAACAGACATCTGTGAAAAAAAACTGAAAGTTATGAATGACTTCTCATGGTTATCCTTTTCCTTTCTCTTGCAGGACATTGGGGATACCTTGAGCAGGTACAGTTTTCTCTCCCCCTAGTGTTAAATCAAATTTGGGGAGATTGTCTTCCTCATATTTGTAAATCCTGAAAGGATCTCAGAGCCTGGGATGGACATCTTGCTAAACTGACACATCTCCTATTCATCCCTGAAAAGAAGCACTAGTGTGCAAGGAACTAAATGAACACAGCCCTTCTCAATACAACTCAGGAATTACTGACAAATTGTGGGATGGGGTGGGGTAGAGGATTTATGTGGAAAGATGATGGTAGATTTAGAGATATGGGGACACTTCTATGGAGAAGGTGGGGCCTTATAGGGACTTGGGCAGAGTGCGAGGGTAGCGTATGGTTGTCTCTTCCTACGCATTCCTTTCCCATTCATTATCTCATTTTTTTCCTATAATGGGGAAAATAAGGCCTAAGTAAGTGTGACTGGCCTAGAGTTTTATAATTACTGATGAGCCAACTGAATTTTGGCTCTTATTCTTATTATTTCTCTATCTAACATCAAATGGAAAGTGAGGAAGATCTCCCTGGGAACTGGGACATGACCAAAGAGGGTGCCAATAGGCCAGATCAGAGTTGTATTAGCAGGATGCATACAGAACAAATGGGATAGACCTTGGAAAGATAAAGTTTGATATGAGTGCCTTCAGTGCTGGAGACTGACTTGAGAGAGCTGGACTTTGAGGGTGATTAAAATCCTGAATGGTGAAAACTTTGCAGAGGAAAATGGAGCTGGACTATGTGGGAACTCTTGGAGAGATGGGGGAGGGCCTTACAGAAGGAGTGGGTTGGCTGGGAGGTTTATGTGGATAAAACCATGTTGATGGAGTTAAGGTTTTTAAGGGCCTCTGGAATGGAGATAAGATGGAGTTCATATCAGCCAGATGACCCAAGCTAACACTACCTTTGCCTGCTGCTTTTTTATGCCAATCCATCTCTAACCTAATATATAAGGGTAGATCCCTTGGACCATAGCAGTTTGTGACATTAAGAACTGGGTTTAGAGCTTTGGCTTCTTCCCCTACCTTGGGGAGGTGAATCGCTCGCTCTTTCTCTTTAATTTACTTTCTAAATAAACTTTGCTTGAAAACTTAAAAAAAAAAGAATTGGGTTTGGCCATCTGAGATAGGAAACCAAAATTTCATTGGCTTAAGGCTTAAACATTATAAAAATATTTCTCACCATATAAGAAATGTGAGGATAAGGTACCCCAGGGCTGGTATGGTAGTTCCAGTGATGCTCAAAGATTCGAGTTTCTTCCAGTTCACTTTCTACTGTCCCTGAGACATGGTCTTCAGATAGTCTGAGATAACTGATAAAATACGAAGCAGGAGGAAGGAAATTAGCCATAACACATTCCTTTTTAAGCAGACTTCTCAAATTACCACAATATTTCTTACCTCTCATTGGCCAGTACTCAGTCACAAGGTCATATCTAGCTACAAGGGAGATTGGGCAACCATGAGCCATAAAATGTAGAAGACAACAGAAGGGATATTGGTTAGGCAGTCTTTGCCAAAGACTTCCTTGCAGAGAAGGAGAAATTGGGTCTTGTCCCCTAGAGAGTAACTTGCCTTTCTGTCTAAAGATGTCATTCTCTCCACATTTGGGTACCTGAGAATTCTAGATAGTTGTCCACCATAAATATCAAAGACTCTCATGGGATCACATGCTTTCTGACAAGGTCAGCATCATCTTCAATTTAATTCCATGAATGTTTTTGATGACTTGCTACTTGAAAAGCTAAACTCTGTTTTGGGGGCTTTGAGAACGAATGAAATATTTCCTCTGTTCTAGTCTAGAGGATTATAGTCTAGGAAGAGAAGATGGGAAGAGCTATAGTGGCTCGTTTTAAAGACTGTCCACTTGTGTTGGACAGTTTAACCCAGACCCTGTCCTAACCCCTGGAAGGTCATAGAATTGGAGAAGAAATTTACTCATATTTTTTAAATTTAGGGCTGAAAGAATCAGAATCCCTGAACCCTGGATCACACCTCCAGATCTGCAAGAGAAAATTCACATTTTTGCCCAGAAATGTCTGTTCTTGACGGAGAGTCTAAAGCAATTCACAGGTAATATGAGGGAGAAATCTGAGGGGAAGTGAATTTAAATTCTAAGTATCTGTGTGTTGCCTGAAGGATATATTTTTCAGTCAGAAACTGAATATCTTCTCTTTTTCTCTTCTTAGAAAAAATGCAGTCAGATATGGAGAAAATTCAAGGTAAATTTATTCATCTACAGGGCTTTTGATGTTGAAGTTTCTTGGGAAGAACATCTGCATTAAAAATATGGGAAAATGGGAGAAGGGTGATATCCAATGATGAGCCTCCCCAGATATAGGGTCCTGTTAATTTTTTCAATTAATAGCCTCCTATTCTAATTTGAAATCTGTTAACTAAATTCAGTCAGTTCTCAAGTCTGCATCGCTGGAGAAGAAAATAGGCAGTCTAAAAATAAATCCAGGATTAACTTCGTTATTTATTTTTTTTATTGGAAAAGAGAATGAACAAAAATTATCCGGGTTATGTTTCACTTGAGCCAGTATTTATCAGTGTAACTTACTGAGTTCCTACAGGTTGTGGGCACAGGTGCCAACAGCAAGAATCAAGCAGCACTAATGGAGGTGGCTAGGAGGGGCACTCGGGAATCAGACTGCCTGCTGACTTAGGGATCAGACTGCATGCTGGCTCACTGGAGGATGGAATTCTTGATCTTGGCTCAGTTTAGCCCCATATTCTACCAGTCTCAAACATATGGTTATCCTGCTTCTTAAGGTTTCTTGATCCCTTTTCCCTTAAAGCTCTTGAGTGGATAATAGAGCCATACGTTGTATGAAGAAATCAGTGCATGGCTGACAACAGGAGTTCTGGGGTTTCTAGTGGAGACCACTGCTCTATGACTAGCGAATGCTCTCCTAGTTACATATTTCCTGTAAATACTCATGACTTGCATAACTCCTTTTCTCTTTTTTTTTTTTTTCAGAATTAAGAGAGGCTCAGTTATACTCAGGTAGGTGATGGAAGACAAAACCATATTGGGGTATGGAGTAAAAATCCTTGTGAACCTAACAAATACTATGGACAATTTTTGGAAAATGCCTAAGTTTGGATTATTTAGGTTCCATTTGAAAACATGGTAAACAACAACCCACAAAAACCCATTGGTTATTTCTATATGTTTATAATATCTTTGCTTCCTGAAATGCCTCAGAACTGAAGCCACAGGGTGATCAATCTCAGGTGTTATGAAGGATTATCGAGTGGACCTGCAGTTCTCCAAAAGTAAAATGCTACTAGTACACTGGTACATTGCTCTGCCGTTCCAGCCTCAGGGGCAAATTGTGGATTGCAACAAGCAGGAGTGATTGAGGTCAACTTTACTCTGAGTACTAGAGAGAGTCTACGAATCTGTTTCATACCACATTATGCCTCATGGTAAAGTTTGAGACTCCCCGTCCCCTTGAAAACCACCTTCACCCTCTAATTAGAGAGATTGAATGATTCTGTGATTTCAGAGGTTTGTACTTTGTATAGTCACACAGCCACCTTCTGTTATGGGGAATTCTCTTCATGAAGAGAAGGTCTCCACATATAGTAGTTCTTCCTTTATTGGTGTCCACTGACTGAACCATATTTTTAGTTCTTTCAGCAAGTATTAACTGAGTACCTTGCTTATGTCATACAATGTCTAACATTGTGTAGAAGTACCTTAGAGGGAAGAGAAGTGTATAAGACACTGTCTTACTATTGGAATTTACATTATCTAACTGGAGGTATATCCATGACACAGAAAAGAGGTAGTGACTGTCATGGGCAGATTATTGAGCCCAAAACCAGAAGTTCTGAGGTTCTTGGTCCCCTCCACCTCTTGCCTATCTTGAACCTTTTGTGGGAATCGTTTAGCCTGCCTGGACTTTGATTTCTCAAAGGTAATATTTGGGAATCTTCCTCCTGGACAAGATGTGACAACCAGATAAGAGAATATATATCAATGCTTTTAAAGCAGGAAAGCACCACAAGATTGCAAGATGTTATACTAAATACCAGAGGAGCTGACACGGTGATAGACAGTTTTCAATTTAAGAATGGGAAGAGTAATATGACTTGAGCTTGTTAAGAAAAACTTTGAGGAGGATGTGAGTCTTACACTTGAGAAGATGAATAGGGTTTGGATGTACAGAGTGAAGCTCTCAGAGAATGGATAAAAGGGTAATTTGAAATGTGAGCAAATTGGTAAAGATTTTCTATCATTCCCAAATGCCAAATCTCTGAAAACTGAAAGCTATTTTTATTATTTTATAGCAAATTAATTATGGTAGCAAAACCTGAATTTATGTGGTACTATTTAAAGTCTTTATGTTACATAAGGTAAACACTCATAGGTCTCACAGCAGATCTCTAATATTTTATTATAGAGTGCTACATCAGACCCTACCTATCTAACATTTGTAGTATTCTGAATTCTGTGAAACTTTTGTTCCCAGAAGCTTTCAGATTAAGAGATTGTAGGCAGGTAAGAAAACCCTGGATTCAATTTATTATGAATATTGTGGCTTAAAATGTGAAAGAACAAGGGTAAAATTTTAGTAACCTGGCTAAAAAGGGTAACCAGGTAATCTAAGCAGTAATTTTTGAAGTATGGTCTTTAGGGTATATTATAAAATGAATATAACCTCTAGTAGGGAGCTCTTATTTTCAGGGAAGTAGGAGAAAGGCTGAGTTCAGAGTGGGCTCTCCTGGTTCTCAGACCAACCAACCCTCCCCTATGTGTCTCTGCAGTGGACGTGACCCTGGACCCAGACACAGCCTACCCTAGCCTGATCCTCTCTGATAATCTGCGGCAAGTGCGGTACAGTTACCTCCAACAGGACCTGCCCGACAACCCTGAGCGGTTCAATCTGTTTCCTTGTGTCTTGGGCTCTCCATGCTTCATCGCTGGGAGACATTACTGGGAGGTAGAGGTGGGAGATAAAGCCAAGTGGACCATAGGTGTCTGTGAAGACTCAGTGTGCAGAAAAGGTGGAGTAACCTCAGCCCCCCAGAATGGATTCTGGGCAGTATCGTTGTGGTATGGGAAAGAATATTGGGCTCTTACCTCCCCAATGACTGCCCTCCCCCTGCGGACCCCTCTCCAGCGGGTAGGGATTTTCCTGGACTATGATGCTGGCGAGGTTTCCTTCTACAACGTAACAGAGAGGTGTCACACCTTTACTTTCTCTCATGCTACCTTTTGTGGGCCTGTCCGGCCCTACTTCAGTCTGAGTTACTCGGGAGGGAAGAGTGCAGCTCCTCTGATCATCTGCCCCATGAGTGGAATTGATGGGTTTTCTGGCCATGTTGGGAATCATGGTCATTCCATGGAGACCTCCCCTTGAGGAGGTGAACTCAGGTCAAAAGGGCTGTTGGCTATAATCCTGCACCAGGCGCAAGGCATCTTGTTGCCTTACCACTTCTTGTCCATCACAGCTGGATATCCTTACCACGTTCCATGCCCTTGCCGTGGGAGACAGGATGTCCATGATCTCTATCATCCTCTTCCTTTCCGTGCAAATTGTGAGACAATGAGAAGGATCAAGGTTTTCCAGAAATAAAAACTAGATGTCCACCTCCAGTGTTTCACACTTTTTGGTTTTACACATTACTGGAGGGGATAAAGAGTACAGGTAATCTTTGGACTTGGGAGCCATTCAAGATACTTAAATACCTGCTTGGCTCAGCCTGGCTCCCTCTGGTTCAGCCCCACACAGTGATTATGGGTATTTGCTGTCATTTCTGTACTAGGGCTCCTTTCTAAGAACCTAGACTGGAACTACAAGGCCCTGTCGGCATGGCTCCCTTTATCCCAATTTTTCCTTCTGGGAACAGTACCTCTACCCCTGATTCTCAATCTGCCGTAGTTTTATTAACTCCATTAAAGAAGCCTGTATGTGTTTTGGTTAGTTACAGTTATTTTACAGTAATGGTGGGAAATGGCCCCGCCTCTGTTGAGATAATGTTCTAATCAGTGTCTCTTTGCCTTTGTATCTTTTTTGAGGACTTTGCTCCCTTCATTCTAATGAAAGGTGTATTTTGGTGCTGGGTGCACATCATCTAGGATAATATTCTGCCCAACTCCGTCCACTGTTTCTAGTTCCCTTCCCAGTCACAGTTGTGGACTAGTGGTCAGTCATGCACCATCCCTGGAAGGATTCTGGGGCAGTATTCTGGAGGCTCGTTGACCTCTTGCCTCCTTTTTCCATTGCCTTTAGGGGTGGGTGAGCTGACCTTTATAACGTGTATACCATCAAGTAGGAGGCAGCACCATCCCCATGGCCATTGGATAGACATACAGAAGTCCAAAGGCTAGGGCAGATCACTTTGAGCAAGCCCCCATGATGGTTCTCAGTCCTGCTTCTCTTTGGGTACATGCTCCTCTGTTTAAAAATAAAGTGAATATGGATGTTTACATTGTTGTTGTTTTCCGGGTCTTGGTAGGATTGGATTTACAGATGTTCTAAAGGATGGGGGGAGGAAATGGTAATGGTGTTGATTTCCCATATGGGTCCAGAAGCCCATTCTGGCTGATATTTTACTTTGAACTGGATGATAAAACTACTTTCTCAGTACCATGACATTATTTTCTAATAATGCTGAAAAAGTAGTAGTGTGCATTGTAGGTTACAGCTCTTGTATTGGTTAATCCTGTAATTTTACTAGGAACGTGTTTCCTCAAGTCCTTTCTGCAATTGGCAGTGGAAAAGATAATGCCGTGATGCTTGACAAAGATTAGAGGGCCTAAAACTTGCTTCCCAGCCCAGGACCACCAGCCCAAGTCCTTGAGGGCATGGGATCACTATGTCCTGAGGAAGAAAGATCAGGTTGAGAGAATAACTTTGTTACCAAGTATTTGAATCTTTCCACTTCTAGATTTGACCTCAGAAGACTAGATTCTATGGGCTGTACCTAGTACTGGTCTAGGCATTCTGGTTCCATGGATGAAGATCATGAGTTGGTGATATGTCCTAATTCTTCATTTATTCATCAGGTTTTAAGAGAAATAATATAACCAGGGTTAGAGAAGGTGTTTTCATGAACCTAGGTTAACTTTTGCCGAATACTTTGAGATCTAATGCGTATGATATATGTGTATATTAATACTACTGATATAGCAGTGTTGGCACATAGTATGAAGAACTTTGTGCACAATAACTTATTTAATGCTCCTAACAACCTAATCAAGTATGTACTGTTGCCCTTATTTTGCAGACAAGGTGCATAGCTAGGAAGCAATAGAGCCAGGATTCAAACTGAGATGGAACACATGGCCACATACATCAAATCCTGCCCCGCAGTATATGTAGATTATGGTTTTCTGCATGGGAGAAGCAGAGCAGAGACTGGAAGTCTTGGAGTGCAAATCAGTTGACCTGGGATGCCTGCCTTATAACTGTCTATTCTAAACTTAAGGGCCTCCAACTGGAAAATAGGGTGAAGAGTCCCGTTGAAGATCACATTCTTCTTTCACTTAATTTAGTCCATTGGGGCAGGGAGGAAGAATAAAGGCCCACAAAGAGGACATCTTTTACCAGTTCAAGGAAACATGCCCTAGGTATAGACTTGGTTCTTGCAGCTCTAGCAATAAGGCACTAGGGCTTATCTTAGTTAACAGGATTTTACACTGGGTCTACTCTATTCCCGACAGACCTAGTGCTTTAGGAACAGAATCTTATTGTACTTTTATTAAAAGTAGCAACTGAATGCCTGAGCATGGTGGCTCACACCTGTAATCTCAGTATTACAGGAGGCCAAGGTAGGAAGATCACTTGAACCCAGGAGTTCTAGATCGGCCTGAGCAGCATAGTGAGACCTTGTCTCCAAAAAAAAAAAAAATTAGCCGGGCATGGAGGCATGCACCTGTAGTCCCTGCTATAGACTGAGGCATAAGGATTACTGAGCCCAGGAGGTAGAGGCTGCAATGAGCTGTGACCACACTACTCAATTCAACCTGGGTGATAGAGGGAGACGCTCCAAAACTAAACAAAAGGGAACAGCTGGAGCAGTGATAAATAACCTTGTTGGATTCAACAAAACTACCAGTTTGAATGGGGATGTGTCTATAAATGTGAAGAATCTTACTAACAATACTAAATAAAAAAAGTCTCAGAAGACTACATACCTTATGATACCCTTTTAATGTGAAACAAAGGATTGTGGTTACCAAAGGAGTGTATGGGAAGATGGAATAGAGGATATAGCATAGGTTAATATGTGTTATTGGTTATCTTCTATCTGGGGAAGATAACTTTATAGGTATTTAAGTTTTTAATTTTTTTTTTAACTTACCATTTTGAATGAAGTTAAATGAACTTGTCAGTGATTCCAAGTTTACTCATCTGCAGAAAAGGTAAGCAACTTTTTGAGTTCATTGAATCGGGAATTGGGTCATTAAAGACAGGTATGGGGGTTGCGGTAGGATTCTTTTGGCTTCTCTGTTTCTTTTCTAAGAACATCTGAAATTGTAATTTACACATTAGGACTTTAACAATAATTTCCTTAATTCTTTTGCTGCCCCAAGAAAAGGGAAAAGGGGTGTGGTGTGTGTGTGTGTGTGTGTGTGTGTGTGTGTGTGTGTGTATGTACACATGCACACATGTCTTTGATTGCTCCTGTCTTTTCTGATACGGGCCAACATGCAGAGAAGAACATCTTCCCCAAGAGCAGACAAGGCCTAGAAGAGACAGGTTCAGAGAATAAAAAGAAACTGAACACAGACCCTACTTCACCATGTACAATTAAGTGAGAAGATGAGAGAATGCATGTGATAACTGTCTAACACTTACGCACTATGAAATTATGAGCAAATTACTGTCAGATGGAAAATTAGAGCTATTTGTTAATGCCTTTGTCTGAGATCCAGACCAGAGAGTGATGAAAATTGCACATCTCCATTCCAACAAAATAAAAAACAAAAATTCAAGAGGTTCTTAGCATACCAATGTGGGTGAGTTGCCTTTTCACAAGTGAAAGAAATTCTTTAGTTCAAAACCAAACTAACCAGTGTTGGGTGCTTGGTTAGTTTGAACTTGGTTCCTAAGGAAAATATGAGAGAACATGTCTTCTGTCCTTGGAAAAGTTAAAGTCAATTAAGAGGGGGAAAATAACATGAAAAGAAAGTAGGACACATCTAAAGACAAACTGGGGATAAGTGAAATGTTGTGTGCTCCAGGAATATTTGGTGAGGACCCCAGTAATCTGAGAGAAAAACGTTAGGTCTATATGTATATTTTTTTTCTTGAGGCTGGGAGACTGATGCCCAATAGCTTGGTCCTGCAATCAATTTTGACTGTTTTTTTTTTTAATAATTAAAATTAAATCCTACACCTTGTTTAACCCAGAAATTCCTCCAGTGTGAGATCTCTGCAAAAGATAATAAAACTCAACCAAACCAGTGTTGGTGGGATTATTGTAGGGGAATTGGCTTCGTTCGGATATTAATGAAGTAATTGAGATTTCATTTTTCCCTGTGGGAATGTAAATTTATCAGGTCTGGCTTATTTGTTGAATTAATTTTGCATTCAAAGTTTGAAATGTAAGCAGGGCATTTGAAGGTAACCTTTTCAGATACATATCTCTTTACCAGATACTTAAGAGCACATACAGAATTTGGATCTGTGTGGTATGTGATTGCCAAACCCAGATCAGAATTTGTGGCAAACAATAAGAATGTAATAGAAAAAAGCAAGAAGATAGGAAGTTTTTAGTGTAAAAAGGTAACACATTTTCAACCTTCATGTATATATACTTAACATTGGAAAGAAATATGCCAAAATATTAGCATAGATGCTTTTGATGAGATTATAGATGATTTTTCTGTATTGAAGCCTTCACCGTGGAAACCTTTGAGCATACATACAAATATGAAAGAAATATGATGAAAATATACAGTGAACCTCCATGTCACCCCTCAACTTCAGCAATTATCAATTTATGGCTAACCCCATTTCGAATATAGCCTCATCTCAATTTCTATCCCATCCTTGGATGGATGTAATAATAGAAAATCAGATCATTTTATGAGCCTCACATAAAACAGTCAAGAGACTCATTTTAAGGTTGGAAATTAAATTGTTATTTTCTAATTGGCATATGTGACCACTGTCAGCTTGTTTTCTTTTTAGTCCCCCTACCCACCCTCTTTAAATATGTCAGACCTTTCAAAACTCCTCTTATAGATGCTTTCATAAATAGCATTAAATGGCCTCTGGGAAGTTCTATTGTGCAATAAATATCGTTTAGTAAATAGTTAAAATATGTGCATATTTAGTTATAACTCACCTTATTCCAAAAAGAGTTCAAGGTATTTGAAACATAAAATCAAGGTAGCAGGAGTTGAACATGCATAAAGGAAGAATGAAGATGGAACAAAAAATGGCCAAGAATTGAAGTAAATGTGTGTAGCATGATAACATTATAAGGACACTAAATATGGGCCACAGTTTGGCTTTTAAAATTGACAAGGGGAACTTATTAATTTTATAGCTCATAGTGTCTATGAGACAAAAATATACCCAATGTTTAAGGGACGTAATGGGATTCTTGTTAGTAAGACATAGGAATTTCTGCTTGGATTCTTAATAAGCAAAAATATCACAGTTTATTTTTTATGAAGTAATTCTTACAAATAAGGAAAAACGAACAAACACCTCAGTGAAATTTGGTGAGCAGATTACCAAGGAAGAAGCACAAAAATCCTTTAAACATGAATGTTGAGCCTCACTGATAATCAAATCTGTTAAAAAAACAAAAACAAAAAAACGGCAGCAGCAACAAGGGTACCTGCACAATGAATATCTGTATACCTAACCCTGAGTTGTACCCCACAATTAAAAATAAATAAAGTAAAAAAAAATTTTTTTTTAAGTCTTATCATTTTACACCTATTAAATATTTTGTTGTTTTTGCTGTTGTTTGTTTAATCCCGGTATTGTGTATTGGTCGGATTTGGGGTATCTAAAATGCTTCACTTTTTTTTTTTTTACAGGCAGTTGGACAATATATATTAAAAGTTTTTAAAACTGGATACAAACATTGATCTACTGCTACCACTTCTAAATTAAGGAAATAATTATGGATGTAGCCGAGCTCGATGGCACACACCTGTAATCCCAGCACTTTGGGAGGTGGAGGCCAGAGGATTGCCTGGGCCCGTGAATTCGAAACCCCAGCCCGGGCAACTTGGCAAGACTTCGTCTCTACAATAAGTCAAAAAAAGCTGGGCATCGTGGCACGTGCCTGGGGTTACAGCTACCTGGAAGGCTGAGGCAGAAGGATTGCCTGAGCCCAGCAGGTCGAGGCTGTGGTGGCCGTGAGCGTGCTACTGCACTCCAGCCTGGATGACAGATTCCTTGACCAAAAAAAAAAAAAAAGGCAGTGAGGTGGCTCATGCCTATAATCTTAGCACTTTGG